TTTTGGGCGTGTTCCTGTTCAGCTCGGAGTTCATCAGCTAAACGAGCAGCATCTACCATAGCTTTCTTCGCCTTGTCTTCAGAGTTCTTTGATTCATTAAGCATGTCGTTCAGGTCAACCTGTAATATAAAATTCTCATTGAAGCAACTGATACATGAGGATGAAACACGAATTCAACTACCGTCATTGTGTATAATATACCGAATACTGATAAAACTTACATGAAGGGTCTGCATCTCGCTTTCTAGCTTCCTCTTAGCCATAGAGAGAGATCCATGCTGAGCAGACAGATGGCTCAAGGTTTCATTGACATCAGCAAGATCAGATTCAGCCTGTCGACGACCACGATCAGACTGCTCCAGAAGGGTACGTGATTCTTCGAGTTCGCCGTTCACGGCATTAGCCTTGCGTTCAGAGGCACTGGCTTGTTCCCGGTATTCTGAGGCAACTCGTTGCTCGTCCTCAATGCGAACTTGCATATCCTTCAGCTCCAGTTGAGCTTTTTTGACTGCCTTTTGAATGTCAGCATTAGCCTTGTTAGACTGGTCCAGCGCAACCTCTAGTTCACTAATATCAGACTCCAATTTCTTCTTCATGCGAAGAACTTCAGCTTTACTCTTGGCCTCGGCCTCAAGCGAAGCTTGCATGGAATCTATTGCACGTTGGTGGCTTTTTCTGTTGGAGTAATCACACATTACTTATTACCTTCAGGGAACAAATTTCATATGTATTCAATAGAGTATTTAGCACTGTCTGGAAAAGAAATCCAGGAGATCACGTGTATTATTGTTTGAATATTTACTATTGTACTTACCGAGTTGTAGCAAATTCCTCTTCCTTTTCATGAATTCGCTTTTCAATTTCCTGCCTAACTTGGCTAAGTTCCAGCTGGCCGCGGAGAACTTTGTTTTCCTCTTGTTCAAGAGCCACCTCAGCCTCCTCGAGAGCAGCTTGAAGCTCCTCTTTTTCAATTTCAAACCGTTTTACATTCTTCTCAATCTCATGAATGGATCGGCCACCTTCACTAATCTGCTCCATCATGTCTTTGATCTCATCAGCCAGACTCTTGTTCTCACGACGAACAGCATCCAGGTGTCCCAGATTTTCTTCATACATGGCCTTGATTCGAAAATGTTCAGTTGAGTACTGACGACATTCTTTCTGAGAGGCATCCAGTTCCACGGCAAGATCGTCTACTTTTATCTTCCAATCGTTAACAGTCCTGTCAAAGTTCTTCTGCTTCTTTTCGGCAGCAATGGCCAGACCCTGAGCACGATCAACCTGGATCTGCATCTCTTCTATTTCAGATATAATGCGCCCCTTAGCTTTTTCCATCTGCATGTTTTTAACATTTAACTGTTCAATCTGCAATTCAGCTTCCTCGAGGCGAGCGGCAAGCTTCAGGCGGGCGGCCTCAATCTCCTCGGCACGAGCTATGCCTTCAGACTCATACTTGGAGCGCCACATATGAGCTTCAGCATTAGCCTTAGACAGCAGGCGATTGGCATCAGCCTTAGCTTCAGTTTCCTCATCAAACTGTTCACGAAGGCCGTCAAGGTCATGTTCCAGATTACGGAATTTACCCAGAAGTGTGTTTCTCTCCTGTAATAAAATAGTCTGTTTTCAAATTCAGCTCTAACAAAACATTTTTTTTTTTCTGAAGAAAAATACAAAAAGAAAATCATTTATTTTCATTACCGTACCTACCCTTGCCTCATCCTCGACGATCTTCTTGGTATCGTCCAACTGCGTCGTGAGAGAAACCTTGAGATTGTTCAGCTGAGAGATCTGGCCTTCTATCTCCTCCAGTTGACGCAACAAGTCGGCGTTCTCAATAGCAAGCTTCTTCTTGTGAGCATCGAAATCGTTAAGATTGCGGTTTGCTTCGTCCAGCTTGGAGTTTACTTCACTGATCTGGAGTTGAATCTGCTTGTTTGCTTTATCAGCCACTGCCTGGTTTCATGAATCATAAGAAGGGTTTTAATAAAGAAAAAAACATTTTAGTGATTTTGATAATCTTATGACATTATCACATAAAGAAATAAAAGAAATTAACATGTCTGTACCTTATCTCGTGTAAGACTGTCCATGGCGGACTTTGCATCATCAGTTTCCCGCCTGATTTGATCCTTTTCCTTCTCTGTCCTAAAATCAAATTTACTTCAATTAATATCATTCTCATTTAATCAGGAGACACACAGGAACTTATATATATTGTGTATAAGTAAAGATACAGATATACATACATACACATATAAGGATTTAAGTATATGTGAGTGAGTGTGTATGCGCATAATGTATAGATAAAGATAGATGTATAGATACACACACAAACATATATGCATATATATATATATATATATATATATATATATATATATATATATATATATATATATATACATATACAGATAAATACATACATACATATATGTATAGATATACACACACGCACATATATATAGATATATACATATAGATATATACATGTATGCATATATAGATATAGAAAACATAGATACAAACACACACACACACACACACACATATATATATATATATATATAATATCCATATATATATATATATATATATATATATAATATACATATATATATATATATATATATATATATATATATATATATATATATATATATAATATACATATATGTATATATATATATATAAATATAAACACACAAACACACATAAACACACACACATACATACACACACATACACACACACACATACACACCCACACGCATACGCACACGCATACACACTCACGCGCGCGCGCGCACACACACATACATACATATATATGTGTGTCTGTATGTGTTTATTTATTTATTTATTTATAAGTAAGAACTCTCCCTGCATATCTATATATGTATATATATACACACACACACACATACACACACACACACACACATATATATATATATATATATATATATATATATATATATATATATATATATATATATTTTACACATATAAACGATTGTTGATTTTCGAGAAATTATCTTCATATATCACTTACCTGGCCTTCATCTTCGTGAGATGATCAATTTGTTCGGTCATTTCAGCCACGGCGTCATTGTGCTTCTTGCGAAGGCCAGC